TTGATATTCGGAATAATAAGTACAGCTTCACAAGACTGGAAAAGATGAAAATTGCATTGTTAAGTAGCTGGTGACATAATTGGACGGTAAGGTTCTTTGATTTATGCTCATATTAAGAAAGCAAATATCCTGAAAGTGCAATGACCTATGCGTACTATTCAAATGTTCATTCTTCCATGAAGTTAGGGAGGCTGCTGTAGAGAATGCACTTCTGCCACCCAGTTATTTCCATAGGCAGACACTTAAATATAATTGTTAATGCATATTTCAGATCCTTTGTTAATTATTTCTAAATTAAAGTTAGTTACTGGAAACTTTCATTGACTAGTAAAGGAGTCTGGATTGTTGCTGTGGCTTTGTACTTTGTAAGTCGGTCATTGACTCTTCACATTTAGTAGGCAGTACGTATTGTAATTTAAATTCATGACAGGGTAATGGGATATCATTGATAATGTCCAAATATCATCTAAATGTTAAACCTTGTTAGAGATGGAAAAAGATGAAAAGGAAAAGAAAGGTAAAATCAATTGTGTGACAACAGGAAGGAAAAATTCATTGAAATACAACTTCATTAAAGTGTTCCATTGGGAAAATCAGTTGTGATGTTGTCAAAGTGTGGCTTCGCAGACCTTGCAAAAAGTAAGTTTTAAAAAAAATGATAAAGTGGTACCGGGAACAGGGTACTGTACAGTGTATACTGACAGTAACATAGCACTTGTAGCATAGCTTTGTATAAATAAAGTTACTTCATTGCTACTAATTCATTCTTTACTCAGTAAACGTTATATAATGGAACATATATCCCAGGTCATAGCATGGAGGACCAAGCATGCAGGGTACAAAAATGCAAACAACAAAAATTATAGAAAACAGTTAAAATCATTTAAAATCAGTCAGTTAACTATTACTTACAGATAATATTTGGAGATCATGATTTGATTATTTATTAAACAGCAAATGTCACTCATTTTCTCATACTGTACATGTAATTAGAAGATACAATAGATATTATCCGCTTTTCTGATTTTAATTATAAAAATCTAAAATGAATCTAGGTTGAAACATAAGTTGAAATGTTATACGAGGCCAGTATTTGTCTGCTATTCAAACTTTCGCTTAAAGTCGGTTAAATGTAACAGATGCGATTGCTACTGTCATTTGACAAGACTAGCATGTTTCCTGTGTGTTCAATGAACCAGAACAAGCAGTAGTCTATAAGACTGGACAATATAGTACATTGGTGCCATACACTACGTCATTGCCATCACATTCTAATAGTACATTGTCAGGAGCTCAGTACAGTAAGATAATTATCAACTTAAACTACTGTCTGTCCTTTGTACTACTCATTGGATTTCAGATTGTTAAGTAGGAAATAATTTTTTTTAACCTAAAACTTTTTTTTTGTGATTTGAACTTACCATGGTAACAAGGGAGAGCTTATCTTCCACTGAGGTGCCACACATATCTTCACTGCTTGCAAATAAAATAAAATAATAAACTAGAAATTGCAAATTGCAAGTGAAGTGCTGCGAAGTACAACTGCATATAAATGTTCTTCAAACAAAATTATTTATGCGAGTCAAGTGAAAATAATGAATAATAAAACTATAACAAATAATATGAGACACGACCCATTGTCTATATTAGAACACTTCTCATTGGGTAACAAAGTCGTAATTTTTCATTTTTGTCAAAAAGTGTCTATAGTGTGGTGAATTATGTTTTTTTTTTAATAAAGTTTCAAAGATTTCTATGTATGTGGAAAATGTAGTTGATTACCGAAGGTTACAATTTTTATTTTGAAGACTGCATGGTCTAGGAAGTGTACATTTTTTTATGGGGCAAGTTTCCAAGGGCGGGTTTTCTGGGCGAATTGACTTCCAAAGAGTGTTGCCAAAGTGCGAGCCAGTGTGTTACACTGTTATTTGATCACAAGTGCGAGACATATCACAAGTGTGAGCCAGCGAGCCATGACGTCACGACAATAGATAGAGATGTTAGCCAGTTGGAGAACGTGCATTAATAAAAAGAAATGAATGTAGGTACCATGGGCTCATGCAAAAAGCTGTTGAAATATAAAGTAAAACATTTTGCTACAGGTACAGTATTTATAAAACGAAACCAAACGTATAGTATGTAGCTTATATCTAATACCTGTTGAACTGTTAAGTACAACACTTAATATTTAGTGGCAGTCGGAGAGTGGTGCCTTCATAAAGAGAAACCAAACATAAGTACCGTAATATACCTGTTGAAATTGTAGATAAGATTAAACGTCTGGGTATTTCCATGAGTAATATCGAGTTTTCGCAAGCTTACGAAAATTATCATAACATAGTTACATCATCATATTTTTATTATACAACCTTTCCCCTACAGTAGCATAATTGGCTTAGTCTTAATAGATTAAAGATTGTTATTTGCTCTTTGAAAATGTGGTCTCAAATTAGAGGGGTCTTTGAATGAAGAGTCTCGAATTGGAGGGTGCACTGTATCGATAAGCACGCTTTTGTGCCAATATAATCAGAATAGCATTAAAAAAAATGTGCCAGAAATTTAGATGCATTAGTTGATGCCACACATCCTGGTAGCTCTTCTTTGAGCTACTATCTAGTGGTAGATCCTTTTCTTTATTCTTTGTTTTCTTTATTTTACTCCTACCACCGTGAAATATCTTGAGTCTTGCCATCCCATAACAAGCATCAGTGACCAATAAATTTAAGCAATTGATCTGAATACTGGACTATTCGCGTAGAAAGCTGAAACTTTTCGCAGCACATCAAAATTTTTCCATTTTCAAGCAGTTCCTGTATTAGAGAACAAGTAAAGTATTGTCTGTGTGGTTATATGTCATTGTTCAATATTAATCTAGAGCAGCCAGAGGAAGTATTTGATGTACTATAAGTGGGCTAGAGGATTTCCTCACCAACTGAGAACCTGAGAGCTCAATTTACGTGCAGGACAGTATTTACGTCTCTACCCATTGAATCTCAGCCAGAATTGTTTCTTAGTAAAGCCTTGTTTTCATAGAATCACTGCACGCTATCGCTGACATCTTTCAGCGATGCTGATTGGTCGGTCAAATAGGGGAGACTTCCAGATTGCGTGGGGGAACAGCTTCACAGTAACGATTGCATTGAAAACACGACAGCGTACAGTATCTATTTTATGGAAATTAGGCTTTACCCTACACTCACTTAACAGTTTATTTGTGTCAGTGATTGATCGATTCCATTCATTCATTGACATCGATTCCATTCATTGACATCATTAGGGCAACATCGTCGTGTTTGAATCGCTGTTCACTGCTACTGCGTATTATAATACCAGTTACTAGTTCTCACAAGTTTCAGTTGTGAATGGATAACCACAATTAATAATAATGTGTTAGTCAACTGAAATTTTACACACATAATGATGTCTTCAAACCCTGTACTGTCGCCCAAACCCGAAGTTTCTGTTAGGAACAAGCCTGAAATCTCAGGTATTTCAGACGCGCCTAGACCATTCCGCCAAACAACACAGGTAGTCGAGGCTACAATTGCTGAACTTATGCACTCAACTGACTTGCATGAAATGATTAATGATGCCGTGTTGGAAGTATTTAAAGGCCAAGAAATCAGTTATTTAATTCATAATACAAAGTGTTTACACAATAAAATAGATACACTTTGTGATAGATTATCTGATGTAGAAGGCAGGATCTCTAATCTTGAAGATCAGTTTACCAAGGTATGTAAATTAATTACCAGTCTTGAGAAAACAATCAGCACATTAGATCATAGTGTTAGTAAACATGTTACTTACCTTGATGAACTTGAAGAATATTCAAGAAACTGCGTTAGAGTATTTTTAAAGAAACATCTTTTGAAAATACTGACCAAGTAATCATTAACTTACCCTCGGATAAGTTACTCGGATACTGTAGATCTCGTCATTGACCATATTGATCGATCACACATTTTGTCAAGTTTCTATCATGCAGGGATCGCAGTAGATTTATTGGCCCGAGAAGGATGCTGAAAGGAACAGGACTAAGACCTCTCCCTACGCTGTCAAAACGTACTTTAAGATACCAAGAATGTTATTGTAGACCCTGGAGTACTGATGGTAGAATATTTGCTTTAAAATGCTAATTAAATATTAAAGTGATTAATTGGTAATTTGATTGATGGTTTAAATTATTGATTGTTTATGATTTGATGGAATAGTAATTTAGTAATTGAATTAAGGATATTATTGGTTAATTATTAATGATTTAATTAATTGATTTTATGTGTTGATCATATCTGGAGACAATTGTGACGATGTATTTTGTCCTACCCATCAAACTAGCTCTGGATGTTTACTTTCCTACACCTGCTCTCAGGTTTAAATGTCTCAGGTTTATAAGTAAAAGTGAATTTGATCTATTTTTTTTCTCAATTAATATTTTTCCCATTTAGAATTCTTTCATTTTGAATTAAAAATGATGCTTTTCATAACACTATTTTTGTATATATTTTACCTTGGGTTTAGAAGATTAGTATCAAAGGAAACTTTAAATGGTTTAACTGTCATAAGTGAATTTTATCTTAATGTTATTTGCATTTAAAACCCCTTTCAATGGGAAGGAGGATTTTGTAGGTTTATGTCTGATCTGTGGTTTATCTTTACTTTAATGAACTTTCTGTAAACTATAGTTGGACTTAGTTATATAGACTATAGAGGGGGTACTTTAATTTATTTCATTTGTCAATAAAAGCTTTTGATCATTTTTTTTTTCTCATTATGGTTTTACTTGTTTAAAGGAAGGGTTTGTATTCATGAATGCCTATTGCTAATTAATAACTGAATTCTGCAATTAATTAAGTATATTTATGTACACATTTTTAAGTGAGTTGGAATGTAATAAACAAGGACACATTTCAGTAACGCGACTAATACAAATTTTCATTTTTTTTAAGGTAATTGCTTAAAAATAAACATAATTTTTTCATGTTATTTTTGTCTTACAGAAGATGGAATCAAGTGAGATTATTCTCACAGATCATGTTCTCACAGGAGAAGAGCTGTCAGAATTTAATTTAGAGGATACATGGGAAGACAGTCTAAAAAGAACACAGAAAAACAACACGGTAATTTGAACATCAAAGAAATATTGTGTACCTCAATTTGTATTGATTTAGTTAAATTTACTGTAATATACTTTCAATTCATTTAACTTTTTCATTTAAATAAAATCTAAATTCATTTTAAATTTTCGATTCAAATCTATTCACTTATTCACACAAAGAAAACAATTAAAATATTTGATTTTAATCTACAAGTTTATAGCCAAACCTAGATAGTTCAACTTGATAGCATCAAATGTAAACTAACTTAATTTCAAGCTAATTTTTGCTGTATTCATTGTCCAGGATGGCTTATTGGAACTGACTGATTCCGGCAAAGCATTGAAGGTTCACTCAGAACGACCGCATTTAGTGAGCTTGGGAGGAAGTCGCATCAGCACAGCCGTCACTCTTTTGCCTCTCAAAGAAGGTCCGTCGTTCATACTCGTACTCATTCGTGAATACCACCGCTATCGTCAAGGAAATGAATATGTATAGAAAGTGACCTTGTGAAATGATATTTTAATGAGCATAAATTGATTACTGATAAAGACTAACAAGATTCAACACATTGGGATGAACACAAGAAATTTTATTTTTAAAATTGTAGATATTACTTTCATCTTTATTTTACATTTTCAATTTTAACAAAACCTTCTTGGTTTCCCACTTATTGATAGGTTCTTGCTTAAGATTAATGAAAATTTGATGAATAAGATAAAAGTCTTTAGCTATTTTACACTTGCAGTTTTCTCTTAAATTTGACATAGTCTGTTACATTTGCTCCATGCCTATCGTCAGCTGCTGTCCTTAAATTGAGAGATTTTTGCCTTCTGACTCATGATATTTGAAAATTTTATGTTACAATATATTTGTAGGTAATAATCGGATTGGACGGGCAGATGCACCAATTACACAGGACATTGTAATCTCAGGAAAAGGGGTGGAACCAGAACATTGCGTCATTGAATATGCAAATGATATTGTCACTATACATCCCAGGGGGGCATGCTCCATTGATGGTGAGCAAATCGACACGTCTACGAGAATATCTCAAGGTAGGTAGCGTTATAGTCTTTCCCACTCCCCCAAACCAAACTAACAACATTAATTTCCCAACAATTTTTATGTCTGTTTATTGGAGGCAACTTATTCTCTTGGTAGGTGGAGGAGAACGTGGCTACAGTACAAGGCTTGTAGAGGATTATGCATTAGATAATGACTAGAAGGTGATTGTGTATGACACATGTCACATGACACATGTCATATGTGTTTATCTGGGTCTTGTCGCCTTTCATTAAAGATTATGTTTTATATCCTATTGCATCCCACAGCATGTATCCTTACCAACTATCGCAGGATAGGCCTATACTGCTAGTACAGACAAATTATGAAGCATACTGATTGGAGTTTATATTAATAGTATTTGGCAAAATTCCACAACATAATTTGGTTGGAAAGAGAATCAGCTTGTTTTTAGCCATGAGAAAAATTCCTGCAAATTTTACCGAGGATCATAATATTTCAAGGCCATTCTAATCTTTACTCCATATTGCTTGGTTTGCAACATTTCTGCCAATAAACAATACATAAATGTCTTGAAAGAAGAACCATGTATTTTCAGACAAAATTAATTATAAAGCAAAACATGAGAGAGGATGAAGTAATAAAGGTATTGGTGTCATGTGACATCACTAATAGAGTACGGTGTAAGGGAGGAAATTAATTACATACTTGTTCTTGAACAAGCAACCTTCGGAATAAAGTCATAATCAAGGTCAAATCAGTGTGACCCTAAAGGCCAAATGATAATTAAAACATGTCTCTCGTCCCCTCCCTAATCCTCTATTTCACATGCAAACAAAATTCCCGGTAAATTCTGAAGAACGCAAAACATCCTTGTATTAAGTAAGTAGTGAGTACCTATGTGTACCTACTCCTGGCACATGTAGTGGATTTTTGTTGTAATACAATATAGTACAACATATCTTTATTCATCTCGCATTGGGCAATTCAATATTAGATCTGGATTACAAAGTTTATGGGTTTGGCGTGTGGAAGTTTAAAAGAATTAAGGCTGCATAAAAAAGTGGATGAAGAGAATATAAGCATATTTTTTGATTGGCCTTTTAGCATTATATTAAGACTTTTCTAGAATTCTCAGTGAGAGAAAAAATGACTTCATGTTGCATGCAAAGTTTAATCAAATTAGGTGAAGATAATAGAAGTACTGATTTGTTCACTGTTGCAAATGATTGATAACCAATCATAGTTCCACTATTAATTTACTTTATTTCACCTTCACCAATCAGAGTAATTTAACTTTGTCCTCCTATAATTACTCAATAAATTGATATGTCCCATTTAATCAGTTCACTTCAGGTAACAGTAACTGATTTGTTTTGTTATTGTACATGTCTGTCATCAGAGCGATCATTTAATTTGGCACTATAGGTTCCGTTCTCTGTTATTATAGAACGGTTTAATGTTGTTGAAAGTTTTTACCAGAAGATTCCTTTCTCTGTTGTTTTTGCTGAGTAGATTCTTCTTTTCACTGTTATTTTTGAAATGTAATCTATTCTTGGCAATTGGCATGGTAGTAGATCATGTTGACGTTCGTCATCAACTTTTTTTTTTCAATTTTCCATTTTTTCGTGGTAGTGCTATTTTATAAAAAAAATAAAAAGAGTATGGTCTAAATGACTAACATTAATGTGTAAAGAAGATTTGTAATGTAGTGTGTATTGTATTAATTACAACATGTTGAAAATATAATTAAACAAAATAGATAATTAATATCCTTAAGGTTTACCAAAACTGAATTATCAAGTTTCTTTGAGGCAAAAAACATACAGAAAATTATGCACAAGACTCTAAGAGACAAATCAAGAATTAGATGCAATTTGCAAACTGATCTTCGCAATATTGTAGGTTTTAACATTAAAAAGACACTGATTACTATTAAATATATCATATAAATATATAAGTCACCTTAAGTCAGATACACACTGCATTGACCGGGTTTGCCATCGGCTGACATTCATCTTCACTTTGTGTGAGCATTTAGCGATGCGACACTGTCTGCTAATTGTCAATGGCAATGTAAATGGATTCTCGTGCACGTCTCATCACATAGTCACCATGGAACAGTGCCGATGTTCGTCGGCCGTTGCAGTGTCTTCCCACCTAAAGAAATTGAGTTGTTTTTTTACCTGCGAGATTGAACCTGGGATCATAGTGTGTAAGGTGAGCACCGAGCTACAGCACCACTCTAAGTGATGATTGTAATAATCAGATAATGTTACTATTGTATATAAACCAATAAGGATAAATTATTACTATATAAAAAATATTAATAGTACGTGAAACTGATAGATAATGATTCTCAAAAATAATCCGGTCTTGTTTTCAGTATCCATTGTTTTCAGAAATGGGAAATCTGGATAATTAATCACTTAGCTTCCGAAAAAAATAAATTCTACGGTTCGTCACCTTAACAGATCACATTGGTTTTAGTCGGCCAGTTGCAAATGACCATACATCCTATTTGTGTGGTTTTTGAAGTCAACCTTAGCAAAAACATGTTTTGTTATGGTTTTCATATGTTTTCTAAAATTACAATTACAAAATTGTATGCAATGTCATATTTACTGATGACTATAGCTTGCCTCTTCTCATGGCTATAAACTAAAACTTCTCAAGACTCATTGTAATGAGGTTTACCCCAATTCCCATGAGTCTTGAGCTTCACAATAACAGGTTATAGATAAGTAACTAAAAAAATTATGTTCAGTGATATTAACTGTGTAAATGCTAATTTTTTTGTAGGGTACGGGAAGCTGCTCCTTTTTATATTTGTCAATGCAGGTTAACAAATATTATCTTTTATCAGAAATCATTTCTGGCATGTTAGTACTGATTTTAGATATTCACAGATCTTACCTCTGTCCTACTTTTATTTCACTGCATACTTCGACCTTTGGCAGTTGGATGTCCGTTGCACTGCTCAGCCTCAAGCTAAAGAAGTTTACGGACTCTCATGGGACAGCAGAGCTGTCTTTAGTGTTAAAATACAGACGGACATTTACCTCGCGGCATGCACCTCCTGTAACATAATTATGTACTAATGAATTACTCTGATAATGTTAATTTATTATATTATAATAAATTAACATTATCAGAGTAATTCATTAGTACGTATTAGTACATGTTATAATTGTATTAGGTGGTTGCTTACTTAATAACATTCAGATGATGAATTAATTGAATTACGACTCAGATTATATGTAATATCAATCTAATTAGGTGCTTCACAAATTTTTGTTTCTTGAATAATGACAACAAAGCCAAGATTTGTAAACAAGAAAAGCAATTATTACATACGAACTTGATACTTGATATGATAATTCTTTTGTAGCTTAAATCTGAAGCTAAACTAGGATGAGTGGGTAAAAGTGGTGTCAACAGTCAGGGTGCAGAACAAAAAAAGGAGACTGGTGAAAAAAACAAAAATCAAGACCAGTTGAAAATACTGATAACAAAAAAGCCTAATAATTATGAAAATCCATGTTTAATAAAACTTAGTTCTATTCCTTTACAAAGGCTAGCATTTCAGAGACTGGAGTAGCTTTTGAATGAGAATTATTTCAATCTAAGATCCCATGATCAGAAACGAACATCAAAATATTAAGGTCTATTATTGGATTAAAGACTACTTAGAACTAATGTTTGGTTCAGAGTCATAAATTTAAGTGACCGAAATATGATTGGTACTCATTGCATTATAGGGAGGAAATACAAATGTTTTTTAGGGATTGGAAGGGGTGATGTACTTTTTATCATTAAATTACACCCCTAACGCCTTTCCTTTTGGTGTGCATGATTGTTTCATGGCATCACTGTCTAATCCGATGAAATGTGAACTGGCATGGATTTAGTGACACTTTTTTTTTCTTTGTGGCATGCTAAAATTAGTATTATTTAAGTTTTAAATATATTATCCGGTGAAATTGAGCCTCAAAATGTATGTATAAAATTTCAAAGCTCATTTAAAATTATCAAATAGGACATAACTGAAAAAATAAAATTAGTTTTCACTGATTTAGAGATTTTTGGTAACAAAATCATTACCATAAATTAATTATCATCCGGTACGATGGTCTCTTGCCAAAAATAAAGGAATGAACGTATCTGCATATTAATCTGAGGGGAAATATAAATTAGGTAATAATAATAACTTAATTCAATATACAAAGTAAGCAATCAACTTTTGATGATGTAGGACCTATGATAGGCCTACTTGGAAAATGGGAACAGGCACTTTTTATAAGCGCCGCTCTCAAATTTCCGCCGCACTGAAGTCTCCAAAAATGTTACAAGCGCAGTGGCGCTTATTCGAGCCAAATACTAGATGTCATTTTTGAATTTAAATTCATTATCATCACTGTTGTGAGCATTCATTCTGTCACTCTATTCATCTGTTTAGACCATTTTCTTACATATTTTTTTTTTTTAAGCTTTTGTTGTACCAATTTAAAAAATGTTTAATGTTGTTCTTTTTGAAGAAAATAATTGTTCCACCACTTACAAATGCACAACAACTTAAAAGCCACACTTTGATTAAAAACAACTGTACACTATCTTACTTCTTCTTAATGTGTTCAGTCTTTCGACATTACGCTTTCCACAATTTGATTCCATTTGTTTCTGTTCAAGGCAGGATGATTTGTTATAGTGTTTACATGCCCTTCCAGGTCTTTTTTAATTTAGCTCACCCAGTTATTTTTGGATCTTCTTACTGGTCGTTTTACTTTCCGTTTTTAGCTCTTCCATTGTGTTTTTTAGACTGGATGTCGTCCGATAATCTAATTATGTGTCCATACAATTTTAATCACCTACGTTTAATTCTTATGCTCCATTCTTGTTGTTCTGTTATATTGTATAGCCTTGTGTTACTAACATTATCTGTAAATTTGATGTTGAGCATCTTTCGTAACACACTATATTACTATACCTAAAGTAAAATTTTTGAAAAAGAAGAAAGAAACCACCCAAATCAGACATTATCTCATTGTTGTTTCATACATTGCATCATCTATATTTTCACTTGAACTTGTAACATGCTAAAAGTGTTCAGTGATTAATTATTTCATTAATTTCCTGCATTCATATTTTCGTCTATTTCATTGGATAAGAAGAAAAAAGTCCCATTAAACTCTTCCTCTGCCAGGATATGTGTTTGGTTAATTCAGTCCAGTTGACAATATGTTATTGTTCTGTATATTAGGTTACATGTACTGTTAATTTATCATATGTTTTTTTAATGGAAATTTTAGCCATTCTTTGAAAGGCAAGTGAGTAATAGAGACACCACAACACAAATTAGAATTGGAATAAGAATTATCTACAGGCTACAATATTAATATAATAATGCATTCCAAATTTTGCTTATTCAATTATCATAATTTTGAAAATCTTATTAAATGTAGTAATGTAATTAATATAATTATTGTTGTTCCCATTATTTTACCACATTTTACCAATTGTTCATTTAACACTGTTAAAATACATAATTAGTAAATTATATATTCATTATTATATTAATATAATTCTAGGACATCCTCTGAAATTTGTATAAATGGTTTGACTAAAATTATGTTTCTATTAAATACATGTTCATCCGTGGTTGGTAGCAAAATAAGCCCCTCCCCTTTTTGCCGAACATGGGGGAAATTGTTGATGGAAACAATATGATTGATCATGAATGTAACGCTTAGCTGTGTTATTAATTAGATGGCCCTGGGACAGTATCCTGCCCATATTAATCATATTATCTTCCTCTTATTTGAGAAAATAAATGTACAAGACCATTTCAGGATGAACCAGTTAACAAGGAGCCTCAGGATAAGTTGTTATCAATTCCGAGAAGACTATAGAGGAACTGCTTGTTGTCGGAATGTTTGAACAGTTTCTACACTCATTCATTTTTATGTGAAATGATTTCTAGAAAAATTGTTGAAGGTCGTTTGCGTTCTTCTCATCAGAGTCAACAGTTTTTGGGTCGGTTTTAATCAAAAGGATCTCTGAATCATTAACATTTAGCAGAAATTTATCAGAAGTTATTTCTTGTTTAGCATTCAACAAGTTGGGTCTAGCGCTTATTTGACTGTGTTGATATAGAGGTCTTCTTTGTTGGTCATCTATGGACAATACAATATAGCATGTGTGTGTTTTGGCTTGTGCTCAAGTGTAGTATAAATTTAGATTTATAATGTAGCGTCATTCTACCACTGTGTGTTGGTTGAAAGTTTCAAGCAATGGACTATACAGTGAGGTTATTGCCGCTTCTATCGTGAGTTAAAACAGGTACTTCTGACTGTTGTGGTCTCCTGTTAATAGGCTGTGTTGATACAACCATTAGCATAGTGTACGTCTTGTTTTCTGTCACTGTTCATTTACAATATACATAAAGTCGTCCAGGTAACCGTTGTCAAGATGTTAAAGTATCAGGTGATGCCGCAGAGCAAGGCGGAGCAACGGATGGCTTCGTTTGGAATGAGGTCATTTGGCATCGCCCTGAAAGATGTTGTTGATCTTGGTAACAACATGTATTTCACTTCCTTACCAGCCTCTTTGCCAAAATTTACATTAGTTCATGAAAAGGGTATGTATTTAGTAACATATATATATATATATATATATATATATATGCGACAATGACATCAACATTAATGAAAGTAATGTTGCGTAAATATAACATTATTTTCATTATTGTTGTTGTCATTGTCCCCGAGGCCACTGTTGCTGCAATCATTGCCATTTTTTAATACAAAAATAAATAATTGACATTTTTTTTCCATTTTTACATACAGTACCTTAGTTATTTGAACTCATAGGCTTGCATTCTGAAGTCGATATAGGTTGTTTTATAGCAAATACAACACAATAAATTCACATTATCATCATTCTTCTGAAGGTGTCCATAGCAACTGAAACATTAAAATATTTTGGAGAAACTCTTTTGTAATTATTCATAATCAGCTATGAGATATAATACTTTTTTGTAATATATTCATATATCAATATATTATGTATGTAGTACTGTACATTATTGTTAAACTGTGCCTACCTTTTTTGATGTATTATTTATGTTTTTTCTTTGATTTGATTGCAAATAAATACCATATGTCTAGACTAGAAGATAACTAACAGTGGATTGTAATACAGTGTAGTGTTATTTATCTTTGCTTGTCCATTAAATATTGTTTTTGGACATCTACCAAATCCTACTTACTTGTCATTGAAACTTTGCCAAGTGAAATGTATCTTTACTATCAAGATGCAAAACAAGTTTATGGTTGAATGTGTCATGTGTAAAATAACTACCTGAAATTTCCTGCATAGTAGTACGAAAGTGTAGCACCAAAGATCTGGACTGCTGTGCCAAGTTTAGATATACCCTCTCAGTGATGAAATCTGAAAACACCACAAAAATGTCAATCACAACATTGAATTGCTCATTTGAAAAAATGTATGTTATCAACCGCCATGTGACATTGAAAAACCGGTTCTCGTCAGATCACCAAAGTTCAAGTACAATAGTATTAGTACAGTACTTGGGGGGGTTGTAGGCCATCTTATAAGGAACACTTCGTTCTGTGTAATTAGCGAGTCATGAGGTAGGGGTGCCGAAAGTAGCTCCGGTGTCATCGGCTTGGGTTGGAATTTACATTAAGGCTTAACATTCTACAACCAGCATACTGTCTCTAAATCTTACACTGACTAATCAGCATAAGTACAGATAAGTAATAATACTTTTACTCATTGGCAATGATAAATTGGTTCCAGTAAAAGTCCCATCATTGTAAAAGCTTATAATGTGGAGAATATAACAAATATTAAAAAGTCAATTTTCTTGTACTGGTTACTGATGCTGGCTTTGGCATGGCAAGCCCCATATATTTTTATTAAAAATTGTAAAACATGTGAATGTTGATTTGTGTAATTTAAATTTACTATGGGTATTTATAAATATAAAATATTGTTCATTCTTTAAAAGATTTATTTCCACAGTTATTTAAATATCCTTTCTATTTTATAGGTGCAATGTTGTGCTTTGGTAATACTGCCCTCTTCAGGTTTAACCATCCGCTAGAAGCAAAGAGACTGAAAACACTTGGGTACAGTCCCATCAATGGATCTTCAAAATACTCAACTACAAAACAAAATGGTGATGTCCAGAGCCTTAACGATACAAACAGAAGCGGTAGATCTACCCATCAAATGAATGGTGTGAACCAGTATCCTATGGCACAAAAGAATTTGAATAGTAATAGTAATCGCAATTCAGAGGAGGCATTAGAAATCAGCATCAAAGCTGACCTTGAGGAAATCATGCGGCAAGTCTCATTAGAAGATGACAATGATGGTTTTATGTTTGAGAACAAGTATGCAATTCTTGATTCACCGTTCGATGATTACAAATTGACCAATAACTCTAGAATACTTAGTCCTGCCTCAACCAGCTCAGAAGCTTCAACAGTCTATGGATCATATCAAGATGAGGTTGGTAGTCCAAAGGAAGTTTTTTACTTTGGTGGAAAGGGTGATGTACGCGAAACAGCCATATGTGATGATGACGACGATGATGACACTGCCAATGAGACTTGTGCCACAAATAAGTTCCGTCCATCAGTCAATTCAGTACGGTCAAAATTTGAAAGCAGCAAGAGAAGACAAAGTCCAGTTTTGGGACACCAACGGACATCACCATTGGGTAGTCCACAATTGTCTGATAAACCTCCAATGTCTCCAAACCGTATTCGCATGGGTCAAAGCAGCCTGATGATCAGTAGATCCACCCATCAGAAACCAGACCTTACAGAACAACAGTCAACAGATAGCTCTAATTCTCTAACAACTGTATCTAGTGCATCAACAGAAGACCGTTCTTCCTCAAGTTCTGACCAGTCCAGTTACAGTACAAGCTCAATATCAAGTGGACCAGAGTTAAAACCAATTGCACCAATTAAAAGGACTTTACCAGATCCAAATGTTAAACGAACCGTCAGCTTTAATTTGACACCAGAAGAAAAGCTGCGGGCTGACAGAAAGTCAAGGGAAGATCTAACAGAGCATCGGAAAACATTCATTGCAGATCCTGACCAATTTGAAGAGGAAGAACAAAAAGGTTTGTGTGTAAAGCATATGCAGATAGTTGCACAGCGGAAACAAGAACAACGATTGGCAGATCTGGAGCAGCAACGATTGGATGAAATTCTGAGTATTTGCACCGAGTATGAAGCCCTGAATAAGAAGCCACCAAGTCCTAAGAGAATACACCAACAGCCTGATTTCATTCCAAAACTTGAGAATGAAACTATTAAGCCAACCATCCAGCAAACATCAGAAGGCAGCCCACCAAAAATTAAGGTGGATTCCCCAGTATTCAAAGGTCCAAGAGCTGAAAGGCGGGTGTCTTACGAGCGCTTGAAAGGTGACAATGGCGCTCTTGTTAATGGTAGTGAGGAGACACCAACTGCTGTACCTCTCATGAAATTCATACGGCAGCAGTCCATGGAATCTGACAGTGGCTCTGATGATGAAAAGGTACGTGTTCTAGGAGGTTTTTCTCTCTAATTACATTTAATAAAAATTAAATAAATTCTCATTAAAAAAAAAAATATTTTAAGCAATAGATAACCAACTCATTAATTTTTTTTTTCTAGTTAGCTTTTTATTCTAATTTATTTATTTATTAATTTTTCTAAAATTTTTTTTTTCTTTAGCTTTTAAGGAGCCCACATGTAGAGTAATGCTTGTGGTTGGATACCCTTTTCCACATATTATGAAAAAGTGATATGTAAAATGTATATTTAATTGTGACATTTGTGGAATAAAGAAGAATTATCATAATTCCACCATGGAACCATATATTTTACTAATTGGATAATTGTTCTTTGTTTACCATTAATAGGCTACATTGTCAGAACTTCAAAAGAAACTCGAAAGGCTTGACAAAGAGAGGTCAGATGCCATACAAAAGGTTGAAGAACTTGAAAAAGTTCTTGAGATGCTAGACAACCAAGAATCTGAAACAATGAGAGAGGTGAGTTTTTTGTTTGTTTTTGGTTTTTGTTTTGTTTATTAGACATTTGGTTCACAACATACTTCAGATTTAGATCAACAGACATCTCAAGTATATAAATGGTTTTATTTGTCGTTCTCTGGGATTTCTCCCATGGGTCTAAGGTTGTTGCGGTTTTTTTATTTCCTTACTTCATTCATTATTTCAAGTCGTAAACTAGATCTCATTGGTATGTTTTTTTGCTGTTTCCATTTCAGTAAATTATAATTTTTGAAATATCTTTAAAGCCAATAGAATCCAAGTATTAAAATATCATTTAGTGTTATGTACATTATACCAACATGCTTCATTTGAGTACTGTACATCAAAAAACACACTTTAAAAGTTTGACAATGGTATAATTCGTCAAAGTTCTATCCAAATTTTTCCGACTGACAAATTGGCTACTTAATACAGATTTAGAATAATTATGTAATAGCCTAGTTCTAACATTTTTGTTTCTATTTTTCACTTTTACTTTGTCCTCTCTGTGTGTTTCTTGTGTTGTTATTTCATGTGAACCTCTACAAATTAACTCTTAAATTCTCTTCATGTTTTATCAAAATGTTGTGGTATCTATTCTATTATAACTTCATTTATTTTCATTTCATATCTTCTTTAAATTTGTTTGCTTTATTGTTACAATTTCAAAATTTGTATCCATCATATTTATTTTAACAATTTTTGATTCTGGGGTTTTTTTCTGTAACATCTATTTGTGGTATTATTTTATACTAATTTGCATATTAACCACTTGTGTGTTAACATAACATGATGACTCATCATCATTAATTTGAACTAAATAATTGATTGAAATGTTTGCTGGAATGATGCTAATTAATTAACTAATTGATTTAAATGGTTGATTTGAATGACTGTCTCATGTGCAATGTTGTAACATAACATCTTCACTCTGGTTATGCAATCCTCTTCACCAAAATATTATAATCCATACTGCCCCGCCCCCTCCTGTCTTTTGTCGTGTGATGTGGTGTAATATAGCTTGAGATTGAGGCAGCCTTGCTTGAAGGAGAGCACAAGAGTGAAATGGAGCACCTGAAAAGGGAGCAGGAACAGATATCGACGCTGCAGGTATTAAAAATGAAGCTTGGCGACTGTGCCAGGGTCGAGAAGGAAAAGGTCTGTGGTTCTCACAGCTATTTTTGTTTGTTATATCAACATCTCGCAAAGTGACAACTAACCTATTCATGTATTTAATAGGTGTATGCTACTACTAATAATGTTTTTAAAAGGTTCAAAAATTGTTCAATCCCAGGTTTTAATCATTTCAATCTAAATTGTCAACATGCATTTTGTACTTCATATTTCATCCTAACAGTAGTTACTAAAATATTGGGATAAATTACTAACTACTACTAGTACTTACACTAGTTTTTGTTGGGTAGTGAAATCTAAATTTTTCTTTAAATATATCGACGAATTACTTTATATTTTTTCTTAGACCTTATTTTTGTATCTATGAGAACAATTTTTATTTAAGAGAACTTGAAGAATCGCAAAATTAAATACTGCCCCCTATAGTTTGAAATGAAAAGGAAAGCTCCCAGAATGTCTGTGTTGTTGCTCTGCCAGACTCTATTTATTTAGTTTTTTAATTACACTTTCTATTTTGTTGAAGACTCATCAAGTTGTTGGATATCCATTCCTTGATTAAATAAGAATCATAAATTTCTAATAAACATTTTTACCATCATTATCATTTGTTTTTTGAAAAGGAAGCCATTTTTCTTAAACAGAATGTTTACCTAAAACAAGCAAGAATGTTGATAGTAATTAAATTATCACTATTATTAGTGTCTGTTATATTATTCATATTTTGTGTCAGTTTTAGAAAAAAAATGTAGATATGAAGTGTACTTATATAGTCCAACCAAATTTAACATTATTACATTACCATTCATTTATTCATTCATTCATTTATTCATTCATTGACATTCATTCATTCATTTATTCATTGACATTTATCCATTTCTTCTTTACATAATAATCAATCTGTTCACCACAGTCATTCTTCGCACTCATTGATTCCATTCTTATACTCATTCGTTTACTTGTACATTCACACTTCACACACAATCATCTGTTCTTCTAACTCATACCTTCTTCATATTCATTCAATCTTTCATTATTCCTACTCATCCATTCTTCATTCTTAACCATCACTAATCCATTCACTGATCTCATCTCTATCATACATCTTTTTCCATACAGTACTTACTCATCCATTCATCATTCACTCACCCTTTTTTAATGCCCTTCCTCATCCATTCACTCTTTTCACTCAAAGTCGTAATTCCCTTCCCCGTTCATTAGCTCTTCTCACTTCAAGTCACAATTTCTTTGTTATCATTTATCCTTTCTTCTAAGTCATTCATTCATTCATTCATCATTTTTCAAATGTACTCATTAATTTCCTCATTCATCCATTCTATGTACTCAGTCATTCTTTTGCTATTATTCCATTCATTATTTCTCCATTCCATTTATGCTGTGCATATTTTTTATTCAATCAACACTTAAATTTGTTTTGCGCAAGATAAACAAGTGAAAGTGTATTTTACAACTCCACTGAGAGTATTAATATAAGCATTGGACAAAGAGCTATTATGAATCATCCATTGTGTGCTTATAAAGAGTATTATTCAAATATTACACTTTCTATAGAGTGTGAATTTTATACATGTGTATCTTTGGTATTTATGCAAGCATACGCTTTTATTTGGGTGGTGCTGATATCATTATGTATAAAATATGCAAATATGCTCATAAAAAACTATCCTAATTATGTGTTTTTGTTAGTCGTTAGATGTTGTACAATCCTGTACCCTCGCTTTACAGTGTTTAATTGCTTTTCTGATAATATCTTGTACTTTCTCAATTAGAGTTCGTTAGTCACAGTGTCACATGACTAATGTTATCAAAGCCATTAAATTGCTTGACATTTAAGTTTTAAATGAGAGACTACTTTTGCGCCTACCAGTATTGTACCTATTCTATCTCCATTACACACTAGTACTAAAGTGTCATTTATTATTTTTTGTACATCATACGTTTGCAAAAATGCATATACGTCCCCCAAAGGCTGTAAGTTTTACCCACCATTCTCTTCTGAAAATTTGCTTTTTTGTATACAGTGAATAAATTTAAATATTCTAGTTTTATTGTAAGATATTATTCTGATATTCAACCCTACTTTTGTTAACTCTACACGGTTTTATTTACTTTATTAGGAAAAAAGTCTACTGGAGCAAACTAAAAGCAGCTTAGAGTCGCTTCAAATCGGCCACGAGGAAACAAGGAAGCGGCTAGAAGTGTGCACCGAGAATGAGAAAGATGATCTGTTGCTCAAGTTACAGAAACAGAAGGAGATGCTAGATATAGAACGCAAGAAGTTTGAAGATTTAGAGTTCCAACAGTTTGAGATTGAGGCTAGGATAGAGGAGGAAAAAGAAATCATGGAGCAAGAATTAATGAAGGAAAAGCGGCAGACGGAAGTGATCCTAAAGGATAGAAAGGTACTCTTCATCCCCATTTTGCACATGTTAGGCAAATAAAAAGTAATATGTTTCTCATTCTGCTTCTTCATTCTTTTTTGTGCTAACTTTTATTAATAAGCTAGAACACACAGATGGGTAATCCTACATAAATTTAAACATCCTCTAAGCAATGAGTGTCTAGGCATCAAATAAATTTAAAATACAATATTCTTGCCAAGTACTCATTTATAATACACTCTTGCGTGGAAAGAGACACAAAAAGCATCTTACCCAAGAACAGAAGCTAATGCCCTATATGGGATTCGAACCCAGACATGACGGATGAGTACCATAACCCCAACTAATGACGCAACCGCTTCCATGTAAACACAGCGACGTTAAATTGTTACTATTGACACCTGATAAATTTCTTGTACTTATCATGATAGGATAACGTGAACCACATTGATCGTCAAATGACGGCTGTGCTGCGAGACTCGCAGACAGAAGGTGAAGTCATTCAAGAGAAGCGTTCCTTAGCAACAACTGAACTTGAGAAAGTAAGAACTATATTAATATTTGGTTCCTATATGCTTGCAAGCATAGGAACTTTTAAAATCCTGCTAGTGTGTATGTAGTATGTACGTTTCTAGTATGTTACGTAGTTTTTTGTAAACAGGCAAACGGGACTTTCCAGACACCTGTTTGTTTTGTGCGTCCGTACCCATGCTAATCTGGATCTTTTGTTGTGCCCTATTTCATAGTTTTTTATATTTTGACAAATATTAAAGCCATACTAATGAGAGACAATACCCCCTACTCTTGAAAAGACTAGTAAACTGTATGATAAGAGGAAAACATTTATGGAATGTTGTGTACTCTCGTTGTCCAAACTGTCTTAAATGTGATGGATCGGACTCCAGGGACTTTCCTAGCTGGTATGGATATAAAACTTTATCTGCACTCCAAAAACCTCAATTTTATACTGCTGCTGTTTGCATAAGGTTCTACAGCAGACAGAATAGAATTATGTTGTGTATGGAAGTGTTATGGTTTGAAAAAAACATAAAACAAACTTGATACCTGACTGGATACAGTAATCCTTTTGCAGCTTCTATCGGATAATAGACTAACGTGTGTACAGTACGGTAGAGTGAAACCATTGTTGGCTCGACAGAGTCAGTGAAATATTTAACGATTAAGAAAATAAAATTAATCCACCCGATCCATCCCGAAATAGGCAACAATACTAAATTTAATTTAAATTATTATTATTATTATTATTTCCTAGTAAACTGTAAAGTTGCCTAGTAACACCTGAGTAAGAAACGTTCCGCACGTAGGTTTCCACCACGTTGGCACGATACTCCATTATGAGAATCAGACACATGGTCAGTCACCTAATTAGTTTGATTCTTTCTACGCCGCCTATTCCAATTCAGGAGCGTAAACGCGCTACTGCCCAGAAAAGCCGATTGGCTTGTTCGGTAAACTAGGCTACCATAAGATTATTTACTGCTATGGTTTCTATTCCATGTTTGCTTTTTGGTTGTGCGTTGTACAAACAGGGGTGGCGCCAGAGGGGGTGGGGGCTGGGGGCTATAGCTCTCCCCCCCATCCCCCCCCCCTTTTCATCACAACAACCAAAACAATAATAATAATAATAATAATAATAATTCAATGAGACTAATTAAAAATAATTTGCGTTTTGTTATGACAAATGCGCATTTAGATAGCCTCATGATGGTTGGAATACATCGTGATAGGTGAAGCAACCTCGACCATGACAACGTGGTTGACAGATTTCATGCAAAATTTCCAAAATATAGAATTTCACTTTCAAGAATGAGGATTTGAAAATAAATTAGATGGTTACATTGCATACTCTTTGTTTCTTGCTTTATTCAAAAATGTTTTGGTTTTGGAAGCTGATGAACATTAGAAAGCATAGCCTACATGAAGTCATATTATAGTAACTCGATGCCTATCAAATAAGTAATAAAAATTCGCCATAATTCATCAAATATCCGTGGCTTCCAGGGGGCTTCGCCCCTGGACCCCCACCGGGGCCCTGGGCGGCCCCCCCCTGGCCCCCAGCCAAGCGAGACTCGATTCGCTCCACTCGGCGGCTATTGATGTTAAAATGTGTCTTTCAATTGTGTGTGGCGGTCGGTGCTGGGCCCTTCGCCGCAGAGCGTAGACTTGGTGCAGTGTAATTAGACACTGCCTGAACATCGTAATTTCATCGGGTTATGAATCTTGTTACGATTCTCGTCCGATCGTATTTTTAGGCCTAGGTTAGGTTGCGTTCTATTGCTAATTATAAATGGTATGTGTAATTCTTATTTTAAGATTGTAATGTTTATTTAATAACTTTACTTAAGTTAATGTTAATGTTTTAGGTCTATCATTTTCGATGTTTTCTAAAGCGGTTCACGCTAGCTTGGGGTAGGCTTAGGCCTATGCCTTTCTATAGACTATATACTATCAATTAAAATATTAAAAGGGCCAATGGCTGTATATTTTCTACTAATAGGCCTACTAGGCTATATATATTTTTATAAAGTGCGTTATTGTTTTTATTACTATAATTAATTATATGTATGTACCGTACATGTGAATATTTTTCTTGTTCTTGCTGAAGTTTGACTCTCTTGTAGAAGTGTTTATTAGTACAGTTGAAGAAAATATATTTTTTTTTCAAAAAATACAAAATTAACTTCATAAATTTCTAACTGAACAGGAGTACCAAGCTATTTTTGTAGCAAAAACACTAGTTAAAATATGCCCACAGGAAGATGTGTGTTTGTCATCTCAAATTAACACGAGCACTCCCTCGTTAGTTGCCATGTCTACATCTTCGAAAATGCAGTAGTGCAATATTTTACGAATGCCCACATAGGAACCTTGGCCCTCGCAGAGGTCTGGTTGATATTCCTTTTCAATTTACTCAATAATAAAATTCTAAATATCTATTACTGGTAACACAGAATCTAATATACACTACGCCAAAATTGAGGAGTGAGAAATTTTCCAACTTTTGCCAGTATGATATCTAGCCAGTAAGAGCGAATGCTGTCATCTACATAAATATATATCTTTCTATGCCCTACTACTTGGTTAACTATGCTTACTGTACACCTTGAATCACATTATACTGGGCTTAGTACCAGTGGAAATACTAAGGTATCTGCTTCCATAAATGGTGCTATAATCAAGTGCCACTACTGTACTGTATATTATTATGTTGATATCTTAATGTTGGACCACAAGGTGTTAATGCTTTATTAAGGTGTATAGGACTTAAATGTTAGCACTGGGGACCACCACAAAATATAATGTTCTATCATCTACCATTTGTTGTGAAAGTTGATTAATAGATAAAATTAAAATTACAATTGCAAATGAGAAATTATGAAAATAACTGGTAACAATAATAATGTGTATTTACACATGTATATAAGCAATTAAAAATCTGTATGGAAAGTAGTTAATTGTTTTGTTAACATTTTGGTTTGATGAGAACTTTTGAGATTATCCCTGTGAGTTTAATACACCTGCTTATTAAACTGTGAAGACATACCAGTCGGACTGCCCTCTCACCTTTTGTGAAATCCATAACTTTGGAGTCTGTTATCAGAATGTATTGACATAGTGTTTGTCCTGATCAGCTATTCAACATTTTTCTATGTTTACTTATATAACACTACAGTATGTTATGTACATCGTATAGAGATAGCAGGGTTGTGCGTTGGGAGGGTGTTTATGAAAAGATTTTCATTTTGAATGTTTCTTGTGAAATGTTTTTTGGTGAAGAACTTTAAGGTAAGTATTTAATCACTCCTATTTATGTTTAAAAAATGTTCTCTTTATACTGTCTGTTGGATTATATCTCAGTGTATTTACCATCCTGTGTAATAGGGATATTTACCTACTGTAGACGGTTGCTCAAACTCTGCAGCTAGCACCATTATATTCCCTACTAATTAGCTTGGTTATATGTACATATTTTAATCTTTTTATCACCCTTTTTTTTTTAGGAAAGGCAACAACTTGACAGCATAGAAACGAAATATAACAGACTACTTGCAAAAGTTTCCAAGAGAGCAGTTTTTATTCAAGACCCAAATCAACTGGTAAGATTTTCTTTAGTAATGAATTTCTGTGTATACCTTATTGTAGAGGAATGCTTTAATATTATGGAGTGTCGAGACTACTGTCGTGTGGAGTATGTCTCATATAGACACTATTGTGCTTTAAAATGTAAAGAACTAGATATAAATAATAGAAAAACTGGCCAACAATAACTCAAATAGAGATAAAGATATGATATGATACAGAATATTTATTGATAAAATACCAAAGTTCAACGTATGGCCATTCTGCATTAGGTTCATCAACTTAACTACGACATTGTCAAGAGACACACTACACTACCAGCGACTACAATAGACTCTAATCCTATGATCTCATTACTAGGTAAAGCAAGACTCGACTGTTATTGTGTTTTTGTTGTGTCTTGACTATCAAGACCTGGTCAAGTCTTTTGACTTTGTGTTTTGATTCATATTGTTTGCTGGGCTTGCTAGTGCAGAATAGTACACACATCAAAGGTGCTTTTTGGTGTTTATCATGAGAATGTTAGGAAGCATCAATATTACAGTTCCGGTCTGTTATAGTAAGAGTTGTAAGTCAAAGTTGTAATACTCTGGACAGTTTAAGGAGTGCCCGTAAAAGAAAATAAATTGTAATCAGTCATTGTGAAAATAGGAATTCATATCAATCTTATAATAAATTTGTTATAGACATAATATTATTCTGCATTTCTATACTTCAGAAAAAAATCCAAGAGATGACGGAAAGACGGTTGAAATTGCACCCTGAGATGTCACTTAGTGATGAGTTCCTTGCAACTAGACGGAAGAATTCAAATTCTCCGCGCATTGCCCGTAAAATGTCTAACGAAAACTCACCACACTCATCACCGTACTCATCACTGCGGAAAGGAGGGACAATTCTAGATATTGAAAGGAATAGAAAGCAGCTTTTGGAAGAGACGGGTAATTATCTTGTCCTAATTCTATCACCATCAATAATTCAAGTACATTTTGAATTTATCAGGTAGCCAAACTTTCATCCAAATTTAACCTTGCATATTTTTTTTCTGTTTATATTGCTTCTTTCATATTAATCAGAGAACCCTCCCTAACCTTGACATCTTAAAGCCATTTTAAAAATGAAGTGCGCATATCATAATAGGTCTTCATTAAGCTAATGAGTGTTGGAAAATGTAAAATGCATTTACAAATTAATTAAATTTGTTTTGCCTAGTATTTATTTCTAATATTTTCTTTTGAAAAATCCTTTTTTAATTTAATTTCTTTAAAATCATGTAGAAAATGCTGCTGCTGAAAGCATTAACTTAAAAAATGATTTTTTTTTTCTTGTCATTTGAACATGAAATTGAAATTATTAACTGTGATTATTAATACTAATTATTATGATTATTTTGTTTATAGTTTAATACATGTATTATTCTAAACATAGTTTGTTCATAAGACCTCGTCAGCCCGTTTTTTAACCTATCCCTGCGTTGTGTTGATTTCATTGCCACTAACTATCCAACATTTGTTTTTGCATGGTTACTTACTAATTTTCACCTTTGACACTTTGTGACTAACTGCAGATTCGGACTCTGGAGCAGAGGAGGAAATTGAAGGTATGGTGAAATACTTGTGCACTATACAGTTGTTAAGCTCTGTCCAGACTCAAATTTTCTTCGACAAAAACTTTTGTGTGCCCATATATAGTCATGATGTGCCTATATATGGTCATGATGTGCCTATATATGGTCATGATATGCTTATATATGGTCATGATGTGCCTATATATGGTCATGATGTGCCTATATATGGTCATGATGTGCCTATATATAGTCATGATGTGCCTATATATGGTCATGATGTGATGTCATCTTGACCGTATTTAGACATGTCACATGTTTATGTCAAATAAAATGTAATAGATCTGTTTGACAGGGCTTATGGCAAGTTAACAATAATATGGTACCCAACTAGGCTATCTTGTAAAAAGAAGGTTGTGGAATTGTTGTTGATACTTGTTGGGTTCAAACCCTTGATTCTGAATTCAAAAGTTGGGTACTATAACCAGTAAATCCAAAACATGTGAATAATTTCTTTTCCGTTTTTTATGATCTATATTTCCTTCAGCTAAACTTCCATTATACGCAATTTTCAAATAAATCATGGTACTTTCAGAAGAAAATAATAGGTAATCTTGAACTGCCTTGAAAGGAAAACTATATGTAGTGATTTCATTAGAACTATACAATATGTGGTTTTAATAACAGCAAATGTAGTTTAAAAAGAAGGTTAGATGAAGGCAGTGTTCTCAGTCGAGGGATTACTGGGGAGGGGGAAACAGGATGTGCAGCATGTGATGTAAAGTCTTGTAGACGATTGAGGTGATTTATAGTCAGGTCATCTATCAAATTAATAGCTGCAATATTTCCCTAGTAATTAATGTTTATTACTTTTTAGCTTCAGAGGTTCCGTTTATTAACATCATATTATATTTATTGCATTATTAGTAGTATTATTTATTAATAATATTGTTATTCGGGCTGGCCTTACTTAAATATGTGCATATATCTATCTCAGCACATTAATGATATATGGAACATGAAGGACTCGCATTATATGACACAGTCATCTTTATTTGTCATAATAGAGGCCGAGAGAAGTTTATTATTAGATAGAATTAATTAGTTTAATAATGGTGGTGATATTAATCATGTGGCGCAGTAAATGTAGTCTTGCTATTCAAGTACATTTCACATCTGTCATTCATCTGTTCCTACGTCATGCCCATCTCCGGTGACTCTGTATTTCCCTGTCTTTTGCTTTCTTTTCTGGTGGAATAGAAAGCAGACAGACCAGAATCAGCTTCCTATTTCTAAACCTCTTTAATGCCACTTTTATTTTCTTATTTTATTTAAAGACATTCATTATAAATTGGCATTTTATTTACTTTTTTAAAAATTATTATTAACTTATTTTATGTAAGGTGATTAATTGATTGAATAAGTGATTGATTGATTGATTGAATAAATAAGTGATTGATTTTACAACAGACTTAAAATTGAATTTTTTTGATAAATTTTAAAAAAATTTAAAAATACAGCAATAAAAATACTGTCAAAATACAAATGAGATTTTAAGGATACTTCCATGGTGTAATAATATAGTTTCTTAGGTTCATTTTTTGAATATATAATTTTTGTATGGATTTGTAAAATGTATTAATTTACTACATCATGAATTATCTTTAAATTGGCTTTATTTCTGCATTCTCAAAGGGTACATAACAGGAATAGCAATATTTTATTAATGTGCATGTTTTTAAAGTAACCAATTGTTTGTGTTCATATCATAAATCATTCATATAACATTACCACAACTATTGTTACTTACTTTATTACTTTTTTTGTACTTCTTATTTTTTAATTTTTTGTAAATTTGTATTAATCTCTCATTGGACAATTAATTAATTAATTAATTAATTATATAGTGCTTGTTGAATTCTGTGTAAATTTAGTACTTTTTAAAAATTAATGCTTGACACCAGTTTATATATTTTATTCTTAGATAAGCTTTACAACTATAGTAAAGTACAATGGATAGAGCAGATGGAATCATAAATAATCTTAAACAATAATATTCTGGATACTATCATTCTAGGAGAAATGCTCATCGAGAAAGAGAAGCAGCGCCTACAGGAGTTACGGAAAAGGGCAGGGGAAGAAGTCCGGGCACAGTGGGAGGAGAAAAAACGTAGCGAGTCATTTTCAAATACGTTAAACGGCAGTCACATCAAGGACTCTCCGCGCGTTGATTCACCAAGGCACAATACAATTCATGCAATGATGGGGTACTATAGTGATGCTGCAAGTGTATCCAGCTTTGAAAGCATTGAGGGTCACATGGATATCTCTTCTGTATGTTCAACACCTTCAAAATCTTGGGCAAAAAATAGGTTAGTTAACTAATTCTGTTTAAAAATTGTTACTTTTTAGAAAAGATTAGCAGATCGTCTCCTTGTGTAGGCAAATTAAATGTATTAAAGAATCATGATAAAGCTGGTCATCTAGCCTATCAAAAGCTCTATGCAAAATTGGTTTGATCCAGTAGAGATGGTCAAGGGAATTACTCTTAGCACTTTAATGTATAAATAAGCCTTCAATATCAATTGGTCAGCATCTAAAATCTTTTTGCTTTAACTATACTGTTTTATTATTTTATAATATTATTATCAGATTAATTAACTTGAGAGTAAATATTTAAAGTACTGTTTTTTTTAGTTTCTTATCAAATATCTCAATTAATCCTGCTTTAAACAGAAATTGAAGATAACATAATAATAGGCATAGGTTTTGAAATAATATTTCATCTGTACAAAATAAACATGATGAATACCCACCCCCTAGTGGCAGCCAATATTTACAATATTCTGATTCTAAATTGTCTGAAGTAGCTTATTTATCAGCTGTCACTGAGAGTGTGTGAGTGCTGCGTAGGAAATCACGAATTTCAGATTGTAAAGATTCTCTTTATGACTTCCTGCAAAGTTTGTAACTAGAACAACTATGTAAGAAGTGGATACACGCCTCAGAGCGTAAAAGTGTGACAACTATAGCCATACCCCGAGTCTCTTAACTAGCAAAGTAATTCCATGTACCTCGTCGAAATCCACAGAGATAAATGCAAAGAGAAAGATAGCTGACAGCTTAAAATTTGGTTTTGATGTGAATAATGGCAAGAGCATTGCAGTTTTTATGAAGAGTGGTGTCCTGAATTTTAATGTTTATATTCGTATTGAAAACGCAAACAGTAATTAACTGAAAATGTCTGTTTTCTACATCAGTAGTTTTACGATAGAGGAGAGGGAGAGGCTAGCTGACATGGAGCGACTACTGCGAGAGGCTCAGGCTGAGAAACAAGCTCTTCTAGAGCAACAGGTAATTCGAAATACTTTTCCATGTATAATTTGGTATCTTAAATTTCATCTTATTCCATTTATCTAATTGTACAAATGACTCATCCAGAGTTGTGGTAAACATTTTATGGGTGGTTGGGTGGGTGATAACATTGGTAAGCTCCAAATAATAAGAGTGGATTTTTGAAGATGGCCAAGTGGGTTAATATGGGTGGGTGGAGTGCCATGGATGAAATTAGACTGGGTGGGAAAGACAGGTTTGCCCTGCCCTGTTCCGCCCTCCGTAACTACATCCCTGCTCATCACTTACAAGATGTCTCAATATGAAGATTTGGGAGTGGAGTTGCTATTCATTGTGAAAAGAATGCTACTATATGTAGGATTAGAATGCAGAGCTCCAGTATTACCAGACAAATATCTAAACACTAAGTTACTGCTCAGCTTTATAAACATAAAATTCAAGTAATTGATTTCATTAATGAATTTTTTTGTTTCAAATTCTAGGAGCGGCTTCGAATGCTAGAACACAGCCACTTGGAGGAAGAACACCGGAAGCGGGAAGAGCTTGAACGACAGCTGGAGGAGGAAACCTCAAGGAGGGAAGAGCTTGTGATGAATCAAGTTAAATTACGGGAAAAATCCTTTAGGATGGGAAACAATCAGGTGAGAAACTGAAAAGTATACTATTTAAAATGTTGATGTATGCATCAAAAAAATAATAAGTAATATCATATTTTTATTGTTGATTTTTTAAATATCATTGGGAATGTATTTTTAAATAAATTTTTTGTTTATACTTAGAAATTTGTTTTGTAATTAGTTATGGTTTTCCCACATGACTAGCTAATGTTATATACACTAAGTCTTCCAGTTCAATTTCAACTGTATTTTAAACCGCAAAGGCTCAGATAAACCCAGAGTTGTTCTTCCCGGTGGCTGTGCAAAGAAAAACAAAATTATACAAAAAGGACAGAATACTGTATATATAAATAACAAAAATAGATCCAAGTCATCTGTTCAAGCCGGTGGAGTGGAGCTGTTTTTTTTTATCAAAGTAAAAACAATATGAATTTTACAGGGTTTGACCCCCATAACCCTGTGATAGGAAGGCAAGCATTTTAAGTACCACGATATGGCTCAAATACAAAGAGGATTAAACAATATTCAGTTACTCAAACATAATTGAGATTCTGTCTTTCTGTACTTGCTGACTATCTCACAAGCTAACAACCTATTAATTTTCATCACACCTATCCATCTGTGCCTGTTGACAATTTTTAAACATCCTAAGCAAAAATATGTTTAATAGCATCTGCCGCAATAAATTTTGTTTGCATCTATGTTTGATTTTTTTGTTTCAAAATTATTATTTCAGGCTCGTCCATTAACAAGATTTTTACCGAATCGTTCTGTGGAGTTTGATTTGCGCCAGCATGTTGAAATGTGTGGCCATAATGTTGAAAATTGTCGCCATGTTATCCTCACAAAAACCACCTGCCGAGGAACGATGATCAAAATGGGTGGACGTATCAAGACATGGCGCAAACGTTGGTTTGTATTCAGCCGTACAAAGCGATCATTTCTATATTATGCAAATGAGAAAGATGAAAGCAGACCGAAGGGAGGTATGTACTTCCAAGCCATCCAGGAAGTCTATTTTGATCACTTGCGACCACACAAAAGCCCGAACGCAAATCTCACGTTTTGTGTAAAGACACGTGAAAGGACATACTTCCTCGTGGCACCGTCACCAGAGGCGATGCGTATATGGATGGACGTGATAGTGACGGGAGCCGAAGGATACAAGGAATTTGTATAAGGAATAGTGAAACCTGACAGAACATTGAAACATTTCCAATAAATTCAAACAGCTGTTCCGCATTTAGCAATTGCCAGTACACTAAACATTTTTTAATTGTCCTCGGATAATGAGGTTTTTAAATGATCGTGCCTTACTCTTGTAAAAATATTTTATAACTTCTGTATTCATGAATGTGTATTCACCTATATGCATATTCAGATATTATGCAAATGAAAATTGCACAAATGTACAAAAAACTAGTTTCCTTAGCCAAATGATTTTATACTGTTTATATCCAGTGTATTCAATAATGAAGTTGTCTTCCCATAACAAGGGTTCTATAGGAAATCATTTGTATGGGTCCCACCTGAAATTCAGACCAAGTTTTCTTGAATTTTTGTTCTACAAAAATAATGCAAAATACTCAAGAATTTGTTTATTTATCCATTTGACCAATTTCTAGAAAGCTTATTGAATATTCATATAATCCCTTTTGTTTATTGTTACTGTTGAATATGATTAAAGAATGATAAATCATAATTTTCTACAATTGTTAGGTAATTTTGCTGTGTACATAAAATGTGATTATCAGCTTTAGATTCTCATTTTAACAGAATTTGATAGGATATCAGTGTAAGATTAAAAATTTTATGAGCATTAAATTATTCCTTAATATTGTCAACATTGGTATATCTTAATAATTTATTTGATCGAACGTTTGATCTATTGGGAAAATTTGGTCATTCCTCAATGCCTGAACTTAGTTTTCTATGAAAACAAGCAAGAAATCATTTAATTTTTGTGTGATACTGTACTATTTATTTTATTTTTATTTATATAATTTCCAGATAAAAAGCAATTCACATAATAACAAGCTTACATGCAATGAAGTATACCGTACATAGGCAATCGTGACCTTTGGATTGACAGGTCATCTTTGAAATTATGCCCATATATATAAATATACACTGTGTTAAACCAAACCTGACCAATCTATTGTATAATTTCCGATGAAATGCTTCACAAATAAGCATGTTAACTAAAATAGAAACCACCTTGACCAAAACCATGCAGATGAATTATTTTTAGAACATCAGCATTTTACAAGGAATTAGCAATTTGTTGAGTTAAATTGTGTTGATATTACTAATAATGAATGGAATTATTCAGCCTTGGTCATGGCTTTGTCACATTTGGTTTAAAGTTTTTAGTTTTTTTGTTTTTGTGTTTTTTTTTAAATGAAAGTTCGGTACACAACCTTTGGAGGCAAGATAGTCACATAGTCATTTGACTAGTGGCTAATAATTAACCTCCTTAAATGAACATCAAACCTATACAAACTGATAAAAAACATGGTCCTTAATTGTCTAACTCTCTTGAAAGGGTTATTCAAGGAGCTGAGCATTTTTGTTATTATATAAGACCCGAATTCACAAGCATTATGATTACTATAGAAATAAAAGTTAATCTAAAAGAAACTATAACAACATATCATAACTTTGAATTATATTAAATGTTGTCAACTTTACTAATTGTCTACATTTAGGAAATTGTGACTTTCGACCCCTTCTTTGTTTCCTATGTTATGGTATATACATTGACATTGAGAATGTAATATTATGTTAATTTTTACATGTGTGCGTTAGTAAGGATTTGCTGTTTGGTTGACCAAACCAGATTTTTTTTATCATGCTTTACTTTGATTTTGAACAAGTGAATCATTTGTAATTTGAAAGGAAGAGCTAATCTTCTATACTCATCCTGTTCGCTTTTTTTTGCGTGATTTTTTTTTTTTTTTTTGCGTGATAGCGAAAAAATGTATTTGACCGGAAGCTGGAGTGTTAAAGTGGAGATTTGCAACTCGGAGCTTTGAATTTGTACAACCCATATTTTCCATTATTTTTTTTATTGTTACTACTATTATTTTTATCATTTTTTACTCTTTATTACTCTTCATTCTCAGTTATAAAAAAAATTATCACCAGTATTATAATTATTGTTAATATCATCATATTCATTGTTTATAATTTTACTGTTATAAAAAATAGTATGTGCTAGGCCCTATATAATAATTTTACTATTGTATTTGTATTATTATTTTTAGTGTAAAGTGTAAATTTTAAATTGGGTTATAGAAGTATATGATAGCCACACCCAGCATTAACCAGTGGGATAAGGTACTCATGTTTGAACCTTCCTCAAGTTTTCCATATTTTAAAATGTGTTTATATGTACTTAATTGTGTACTTAGTTGTATATTTGTATGTATTCTTGGTAGTTGAATTGCAAAAATGCTGTCAATAATAATTAAATTGCATAAAAACAGTGACATAAAATTAAATCGAATTAACAATAAAGTTGTTTTTGGGGGGCTTTTTTTTTATATGGGTATTGATCACAAGTATTCTGAATACAGTGTACCCTCCAATCTGAGACCCCTCAATCCTTTAACACAAAGCTAACCCTCTAATTGGAAACTGAACCTCAAGACCACCCACAATTTTCAGGTCCCAATGGTGGTCTCGAATTGGAAGGCGAACTGTAGACATAAGTAGGATTAATGTTTTTTAACTGCCTTTATTAATAGAGTTTTTGTATAGTGTTTTATATGCTACATTACAATTTTAAGTGATTTGAGATTTTAATATGTAGATATCACTTTATACCAGTATTTTCATTTATTTTGTACTGCTGTTTTTCCAACTGATATATAGTATTGTAGATTGTTTTGTTGTTCCTTCTGTTTATATTATTTTATATTTTACCATACTTTCTTCTTACTTGATTTGCCTTCTGATTAACTGGAATAGTTAATAGCAAAATGTTTCATTGCATTTGTATTTATAACTGCATTGAAAGAAAATCATTGATATTTTATTTTAACTTTATACTCTTTCTAATTAGTATTAAATCAGTATTACTTATGTTAGACTTTCATATTTACAATTTTAATAGTAAAGTAATTGCTTTTTTCTTATTTCTTATTTTAATGTAAATTGTTTGTAATATATTGTTATGCCGTAAAAAGTATTTCTTGATAACATTTGATTTTGTAAGGCATGCTCAAGTGAGACAAAATTCACACATTGGGGGCAGCAGAGCAGTAATTGTGGGGATTATCTGCTTTTAAATCATTTGGGTTTTTTAAAGAAAGCAGTGGTACAAGATGACAATGACTTATAGAAAATTAGGGTTTTCAATCTTAACAGAATGTTTTATATACTGTACTACCTCTGTATAGTCGCATTAAATTATGCAGAGCAGATAAAAGCTATTTAAGTGTCTGTTTCTTAGTCATGGTAGAGTTTTTAGCATTTAATTATAAATAATTTCTATTATTAGTTTGAAATATGAGTCACTGCTTCCAAATGAATACACTTTAAATTTTATACAGTAGATGTTGACATCTGTGTAAAGGGATTTTGTGTATCTGCATCTGCTGCAAAAGTACAATCCTGTTGCGTAGAGTGGTGACTAGATAAGCTCCAAGTGGCAACTAAAACGAAGAAATTAAACACAAAAATTTTCTTGGCGGGCTCAGGTTGTGCACTGTTGGGTTTATACAAATACAGTAACACTTTATTGCAAAAAAAAAATACAGAACAAAGGGGTAAAGTGGGGAAAAACTAACAAAAAGGGATAGGGACACTTAAAACAGATTAAAACAGTAAAAGTATAAAAGGTAAAACAATAAAAACAATGTTTCATTTATTACAGAACAGTTGAATATGTTTTTTAAATAAAAGATAAAAATAAATACCACTATTTTCTAATTTACTGTACTTTCATGATATTGATGAATAGTCTTAACAACACAAATACTGTTAATCTCCCTGGATAAAGCAACTACTCACCTACTTACCTAGTAATATGTATTTTGTTAATACGGATATTTAGATATTTCCACACAAGAAGAATGTCTTCATAGCCATTATTGCATAAAAGGCAGGTACCATCATTATTGGCTTGCCACTTGGTTGTTCTACTAATGAGTGCCAGTGTGTTAGATCTGACCCTGGATTTATCAGTCTCAGCTTAGAAAATGTCTTAGGCCTACAATCGACTTTTTAATTTTATTTTTTAAGCAATTTTCAAGCTAAGCAACATTGATCAATTTGACTTAGCAAAAGTGGACTATTTTGATTCTATTTTGATAAATCTGACACCTGGCTTTAAACTTTAAGCTGTGAGTTTTAAAATCATTCTTATCAAAATGTTAAAAAATTCTCTAATAAATTATCTGTTTGCATTCAATGTAATTACTCAGTGATGATTTGTTAAAGCCTCTTGGTCTCTAAAAAGGAAGAGTCAAAATTCATAATTGATTTACATTTTTTGAAGGAAGTCATAAAAGTATGTTCCATTTAATATTTAAAAAGAATTTGACCTATATGATTTAACCACTTCCATTGATATTATGTGTGTCTTTGGCATAAACATACAGTATACAGCAAGTTTAGACCATCCTGAATTATCCATAACTAATCGTTTTGAAAAAAGTCAATAATTTTCAAATTAATAATGCTGACAGAGAGAGCCCACACGATATACCGCCCTCTACCTTTTATAGAAAAAGTTGAATCTTGCTTGCGCGATCGACTTGTAAACAAAAATAAGTTTGTTGATTATTGTTTGTTTTTAAGAAGGAACTGAAATGTCAAAGACAACTCTTCATCATAATGCTGCAACTAACAATCGGGCTGAAATAGTTAGACTAAAAAGCCGAGTTCAAGAGGTAAGTATTGTAGACTATGTTCTAGCGTCGCCTAGGCCTCTTTTATTTCCCCACCATCTCTACCCTCGACTTTGGCTTACGTACGAGTTAGGCTAGGCTAACTAGACTAGCCTAGGCATTGCACTGGCGCTTGGCCTTGCTTACTTTTGAGCTAGAAAGCTAGACCTAGGTGGCGCTAATGCACTGCTGTACTTCTCTAAAGGAAGAAATGGTAGTTTAAGGTTAGAATACAGCAGCAGATAGGGCCAGGTACGGTTAATTCAGCCAGCTGCATTGTGTAAAATCATGGGATCCATAGATAAGGAAGAGCATATAACGTGACCGTAAACAAATCGGTAAACGATATATTTACGTACAAGATTTAACATGGAATGGGGCAATTTCGACCCCGAGTGTGTACTAACAGCTCAGACGACAATCGGACTACGCCTGAAGAGGGCCCAGATGGACCGAAAATTGGCATCATATACAGTAAAAATGTTTAATATATATCTGTCTCTTACACACATCTAGATGTGTATAAGAGCCAGC